TGCGCTCTGTCTGGGGCGCGCATGGAAAAAACTCTCAAAAAAAAAAAAAAAAAAAGAAAGAAAGAACTCTGACGCTCTCGCCCCTTCCCTCGGGCCACTTGGCTGCAGCTGGAGAAGTTCAGCATCTCGGCCCACGGCAAGGAGTTATTCGTCAACGCAGACCTGTACATCGTAGCCGGCCGCCGCTACGGGCTGGTGGGACCCAACGGGTGAGGAGAGGGGCTGGAGGGGAGAGCGGGCTCTCCCGGGGCGGCCTGCTCTCACGGCTCCCATTCCGCAGCAAGGGCAAGACCACGCTCCTCAAACACATCGCCAACCGCGCCCTGAGCATCCCTCCCAACATCGACGTGCTGCTGTGCGAGCAGGGTGAGGCGGGGCGGGCAGCGGGGCCCAGGAGCCAGCCCTGGGGACAGCCGCGGCGCTGGGAGGGGTGCCGAAGGGCGGGGGAGTTCGTGTGAGTCGGAACGTTTTACTTGGAGAAGTGCGAAGTGAGGCAGGCCGAGGCAGACCAGGAAGGAGACCCTTGGCCTGGCTGCTGACTGCTCTCCCGCCCCAGAGGTGGTAGCGGATGAGACGCCAGCGGGGCAGGCCGTGCTTCGAGCCGACACCAAGCGGCTGAAGCTGCTGGAAGAGGAGCGCCGGCTTCAGGGACGTCTGGAGCAGGGGGACGACACAGCTGCCGAGAGGCTGGAGAAGGTAGAGACGGCGCAGGGGCACGGGCCAGGACCCGGGCTCCGCGGGCCTGGGACATGTGTCCTCTTCTCCCTCCCAGGTGTATGAGGAACTGCGGGCCACCGGGGCGGCGGCTGCAGAGGCCAAAGCCCGACGGATCCTGGCTGGTCTGGGCTTCGACCCCGAGATGCAGAACCGGCCCACACAGAAGTTCTCCGGGGGCTGGCGCATGCGCGTCTCCCTGGCTAGGTGGGCCCCCCAAACAGGGCCGGCAGGGAGGTTCTGCCTCCTTCCCCGTCTGTTGTGAGAACTCAGCGTCTGTCTGCGTTTCTCCCCTTATCTGGGGTGCGCTCTCTCATCTCACCCAGGAACTTCTCTGAAGAGAGGTTGGGAGGAGGGTTTGTGATCTGAGTCAACTTCCAGAGGCTTCCCTGGGCTTTGCTGGGCCACGGTCTCCCTCCCCTGACCCTACGCTCTGCTGTCCCCTCCAGGGCACTGTTCATGGAGCCCACGCTGCTGATGCTGGACGAACCCACCAACCACCTGGACCTCAATGCCGTCATCTGGCTCAATAAGTGCGTCCCACTCCGCCCTGCCCCCCTGCCCCCGCCTCTTTCGTAATGCCCTTGGCAGCTCTCCCTGCAGGCCTCCTCCTTCCCTCCCTGCCCCGTCGTCCTCTGTCGCTCCCGGTGGCTCTCCCGTGCCCGCCGTGACACTTGCACTTTCTTCTCTAAAACCCAGCTACCTCCAGGGCTGGCGGAAGACGCTGCTGATCGTCTCCCACGACCAGGGCTTTCTGGATGACGTGTGCACCGATATCATCCACCTCGACGCCCAGCGGCTCCATTACTACCGGGGCAATTACAGTGAGTGGGGGGCCGGGGCCAGGCCTGTGGGCCGTGGGCTCAGCCTTCTCAGAGGAGCTGACGCGACGCCTGTCCCCTTGCCTGGCCCAGTGACCTTCAAGAAGATGTACCAGCAGAAGCAGAAGGAGCTGCTGAAGCAGTACGAGAAGCAGGAGAAGAAGCTGAAGGAGCTGAAGGCGGGCGGCAAGTCCACCAAGCAGGCGGTGAGCGCCCGGGGCCCTCGGGGCTGTGACGGCGGCGGAGGACCGGGGCCTCCTTCCCCACACCTCAGGGACCACTGTGCAAGTGGTGGGTTTCTCCCTCCTCCTTCCTCTGCAGGAAAAGCAGACCAAGGAAGCCCTGACTCGAAAGCAGCAGAAATGCCGGCGAAAAAACCAGGATGAGGAATCCCAAGAGGCCCCCGAGCTCCTGAAGCGCCCCAAGGAGTACACTGTGCGCTTCACCTTCCCGAACCCACCGCCGCTCAGCCCTCCCGTGCTGGGGCTGCACGGTGAGTGACACTCCGCGGGGAGGGAGCCGACGCATGGGCGCCACAGTCCTCCCTCGAAGCTGGGGCCTTTCCTCCAGGGCCGGGGGATGAGTGTTGGGGGCACCTTCGGGGCAACCGGACAAGTCCATGATTCCCTTATCCTCCTGGGCCTCAGGTGTGACGTTCGGCTACGAGGGGCAGAAAACGCTCTTCAAGAACCTGGACTTGCGC